ACAGTTCATTTTTTCCGTTGTTATAAAATGTGGATTTTAGCCTGCACTGCAGCATAGTAAGATCTTTTCAATTACGCAAGATCGATAATAAACTTAAGATGAGATACATGTAAATATTTTTTTCGTACGCTCAGCAGCTTTTACGTCTAAAGCTTAACCGGTGTACGTAATATGGAAAGAATGCCGTCGAGATGCCTGTGTAGTACAATATATAATACGCAACCCATCTTGCGATGATCAATTGAGTTTGTCATCCGCCAAATTTCCTAGATGTGAGACAGTACACTTGCTGGAATACCTCATCGATCATCAGTCGTACTTCGGATCAATGAACCGCGAGGAAGGTTCAAACATCGCCGCGGTGAAGAAACCACTTGACCTTGCATGGTCAGACGTCTGTTGCAACCTCCCAATCATTAAACGATTTATTTGCACATCTCGTTGCTCAAGGACCAGCTGTGAGGATCGGTTCGGAGGAGCTTTCAAATGTGTTCGCGTCAATTAGATAACGTAAGATACTAGAAATATCTATTCGTGTAATTGTCCAATAACTCGTGTAACTTTGCGGTAACTGACAGTAAAATATTTGAGCGATGACGCGATTAACAGTATAGAATTTTAATCAAAGTACCAGGATAGACTGTGGAATGTTACAAACGATGAAGATCGGAATCCGCCAACAGCGGTCAGAGCGAATCTTGGTGCTCTGTAATTTAATACCATCAAGTGTGAATCTTATCAAATTTTTCGGTTCAAATAAACCGCGCGCCGCAAATCGTCGGGCTTTCGACGCTGCAGCTCACAAATTAAATTTTAATCCGATTCTTCATTCCCATTTCGTTTTAATTCGCGCAAGAATTGAAATTAAGACTAATCAAGCTTTATAAAAATTAGACTTGATGAAAAAAAAATCTACAAATTCGAAAGAATTCAGTAAAATTGAAAAATTTTATTGTGACGAGGAAATGATTTGATTTATTTAAGCCCAAAGAGATTCCTTCGGCTTATTTGTAGATATAAAAGAACTTTACTTGTTAAATTTGACAAATAGTTCAGATATAATTTCTGTCTCTATTATCTATATTGATTAAATACAAAACATATGTGGTATCGTAGTGCTTACTAATCACTTATCCGTTTCAGCTAATTTTTCGTACCTAAATAATTCTCGCTATAATTGCAAGATTACTTTTTTCAGTGCCATTCTGTCATATCCATAAAGAGTTCAAAATGTCAAAAACTTTACTATATGCATATAATAGATCTAAACGCTTATATATATATATTTATAGTTAATTCCCTCAATATTCAGAAAAATACAGATACAAAACGTATCGCTTGCTGTAACCGCGCCAATTCGTTTCACGACGGTAGTGTCAAGAGCTGAAAGTGTAGAAAGCTAAGTCGCGGCGCGGCTTTTACCTAATCGCGACGGGTCGAGTCACCGGAGGCACCGCGGGAGCTGCGGTCCAGGTGGTGGGCTATCTGTCGGTGTGCTCCTCGTGAAAGCGGGCATTCCAAACGCAGCTCGTTTCAGTTCGGGGAACGAGCGAGCACTCGGTGTCTCAAGGAGGTCTGTTCTTCGCGGTGTGTCGTTAAGCGTATACACAAACATAAACACACACGCACGTATATACCAAGTTATATACACTCTCGGTTGTGGGCCTCTGGTATTTACCAGCGATTCACTTGGTCGATATGCGGATGTGTGAGTCCGCTCTTGACGTACACGTACACATGCACGCGAGAGGTCCTCTCTCCATCTTCCTTCCTCCATCCTCGTGAAGGATGGCAGATAAAGCTTTCCTCTTCGCCGACCTTCCTCCGCCGCTCCGCCGCCGATTTAGCAGATCCACGGTCCATAGCTACCCTCTTCGTATTACAAAATTTTCTCCGCAGGGCGGAACAGCATCCCTTATTATGCCTCAGCGGATAAAAGTCTACGACTCCTTCATCTGAATAATGTACTTAACAATCTCCGTCGTCCGCCGCGTGACAGAGGCTGCGAAAGCCCATCCTACTTCGTCGGTTGCGTTCTATCGTGATGGCACACGCGCCGGACGGATTCGGCTATACGAGTTGCGTGCGGCTCGCACGTGCCATTCTGATCGCGTCAATCTAAATAAACTTGGCAGTATATCATACAAGGCGTATAGATATCTATTTCCCGTTGTTTAGACTTGCAATAACTTCTAGTTTAATGTTATGTTCTCAAATTGAATATTTCCATTTTTTTTATATTGCTTAAATTTATATATACATTTAATTATGTTAACTATATTAAGTTAAAATATAAGTAGGTAATATACCACATATCTTATCTTTATCTAATCTTTTTTGTGCACTGAAAAAAGTAATCTTGCAATTATAGAGAATTATTTAGGTACGAAAAATTAGCTAAAAACGAATAAGTGATTAGTAAGCACTGCGATACCACATATGTTTTGTATTTAATCAATATAGATAATAGAAACAAAAATTATATCTGAACTATTTGTCAAATTTAGCAAGAAAGTTCTTCTATGACGTTTAATCAGTCCAGGCTCCAATCTGGACTCTAATCATACACGAAAAGAACAATTTTGTTGAAAAGTCTAAAAATTTTGCTAAAAACAGATCTGAAAATAATTTTTTGTTAAATCATCAAAGTAATTTGTTGGAATTTTAAAACTGATAAGTATTGCTATAAAACGTTTTGATATTTTAGCAATCATTTTGACCTTTGCACAAAATTATTTTGATTATTGAACAAAAATTATTTTCAGATTTGGATTCAGCAAAATTGTTCTTTCCGTGTATTTGGTTATGAGACTAATATTTTCTAGTATATATTCTTAGAATATTGCTGCTCTAAATTCTATGTATGACAGACAATTTTTTGGCAGATACAAAAAACAGCGATGTAATTTAAGTGTAATATTTAAAATTCCAGCTGGAACAGCGAAACATTTCCCTGAGTGCGTCTACGCTATCAACCATGCATCATGCACACGTAATCATCATATTTTTAATTACTTAAAACTCTCGAATAGGAGAAAAATGTCTTCTCAGAAAGACGATTGAAGTTACAAGTTTCCACTTTTCGTGGAAATTTTGCGGAGCTCTTCCGCGCAATAATAACGGCTGAGAGCAAATACATCTAACGTTTAACGAATATTTTCTCTCTTTTTCTTCTTCCTCTCAATCCTCTCTTCCCGGTCCCATCACGCAGAAAAAGGATTAGCCAATGAAGCTAAAATAGCTAAGATGTATCGTTGAAATAGGAACAGCTAATGTCGTTGCTGCCAAAGATCAATTTATTAGTTATTAAAATATAAGTGCGACATCAAAAAATATTTGCTGCTAAAATAAAATGATATTTAGCTGAATCTATTATGCTATTTTATCTTCGCAATAGAGTAATAATATTTGCAGTACATAGCTTATATACTGCAAAATATAAATGCTAAATGCGCTGTAGATGTGCATGTGGCAGTGCCACATTGCAGAAACAATTACAAATCAAATTTTCGCGCGTAGCTATTAAAAACGTAGCTCTGCTAAATGTGTGCTAAATGTGTGCACGATAAGACGAAAGATATTTTAGGTACGCATACCATCTTTTTAGCTGCCTGTACTAATATATGCTTTTAATTTCAGTTATTAAATTTTTTTGTCACAATGAGTGTTTTTTATCTGTACTAGTACATAACAAGCGTGCGCTTCGCGCGCGCTGCGTATTGAATCCCATACATCTTCCAATAACATTTATACCAATTTACATTTTAATTAAACAAATTTTAACAATTTTTGATAAAAAATTCATTTTCAAAAAAAATGACGCTTTTCGCGCGATGCGTATTAAATTCCATACATCTTCCAGTAATATTTTAATTAAACAAATTTTAACAATTTTCAAAAAAATGACGTTTTAATTGGCCATTTTAAATCGGCCATTTTTAAATAAAATTACGATTTTTTAAAAAATAGCCACATAATTCATCTTTAAGATGAGCCCAGAAAGAAGTTTATATCTTTATTTTTCTGGAAGATATGAATTTTTAAACATAGGGGAAAAGAGGCTTCAACGCAAGTAACACGGCAATTTTAAGATATGAATAGCCAGAACTTAGCAATAACTCTAAGACGGTAGCTCTTATAGCTAATTGTAAGTTTGATTTAGCTATTGAAATTTAGCTACTATTACTAAGTCATTTTTTTTTGCACCTGCGACAATCACCTCTATTCGCGCGTACCGCGGATCTCGCGTCGCACGTGCACGCGCTCTCCCGCTCACTCCGACCTCCCTCGGCGCCCAATTCCTCCTCCGGTCTCTCGGTCTCTACAGCTCTATACTCTCTCGCGAGGAAGACCACTCTCCGCTCCGGCCCTCCGTCGTCGCGCCGCGGCCCGCGGCCCGCGGCCGCCGCCGTCGCCGCCGCGACGTCCTCCTTCTCCTGCTCCGCGGCCGCTGCCACCACCACCACCACAACCACTGCTACTCTACCACCGCCAGCGCGCTTACGTCTTCCCTCCTTTCCTTCAGTCTTTTTCTCTCTCTTGGTGACCGCGCGCGATCTTTGTTACTCCGCGCGCGGACACGGTGGTGGAAGTTCGCAACGGAACTTCAGTGCAGCTGCGAGCCGCGACGAGCAGCTGACGCGGAATCATTGAGGTCTGGTATATAGTGGAGTAGCTCCGCGCCGCATATATATACGCGTGTGTGACACGACGCACGACAGGTCAGGTCAGACGGTGCGCGCGGCGGACGCACGCACGCACACGCGGTTCTGGACCACACGCCGCTTGCAGCCGCTTAGCCGCAGCTAGTCCGGGCCGTCCGAGTCCCGTGGGGGGACCAGGACCCCAGGACCAGGAGATTCGCGCGTGCCTTCGCGTACCCGCGCGGCGCCGCAAATGAGCTCGCGCCGCGAGTGCGCGCGCGAGGGAAACGCTCCTGCTGCTGCCGCCGCCGCCGCCGCCGCCGGTCGCGGCCGCGGCCGCATCTCATTGTCAGTCGCGAACAGTGCGGTGTGTCGTCGCCGTCGTCGTCATCGCCGTCATCATCATCATCAGCGTTACGCGATACCGCGCCGAGGTGCGTCGCCGGCTGTTGTGCTCCACGACGCTCGCGACGACGACCGAGACTCCGGCCGAGACTGCGGCAGTAGTTGAGGAGGGAACCTGTGAAAAGAGCCACCGCCAAACGCAAGGCGACAAGTGTACGCGCGCGGGCGCGTTGACGAGAGAATACTCGCAGGTGAGTGTAAGAGATCGCCTTGTCGCGGTTCGCCGGGGGGGTATCCACGTCTCGCCGAGAACGAGATCCTCGACGGTATATACCTTGGCCGGACTATGCGATACGCGCGGAGTACGGACTGACGGACAACCCGACGGGAAGGAAACTGATTGTATTTCAGGAAAAATCGCCTACACTTAGTCAGACAGAGATAAAAGTCTGTGGCAAAATATATAATAAAGTATACATCTTGGCACATTTAGCTTTTGCAATGAAAAATAAAGGGAAAACGGACAGAAAGGAAGCAAAGAGGGAATATAATTGTAGTAATATAAAAAAAAACTTTATAATACGTGCTCTGGGATGACATAGATACTCCTAAGAGCAATAAGATAAGTCATATAAACAATTAATAATTATAAGTCATTGAAAATGTTGAGTTCACGAAAAAAAAATGACGATTCTTAACTATGTCATGGTCATCGCTTTTGGTAAATTCTATATTTCAAAAATAAGTTGACTTTCTCCGTTGACATTTAATAAGAAATTAAAGAGTTGACATTTAGAATTGAGTGCTAATCGGTATATTCGAAGAAATTTTCTATAAATCAAATTGTGTAACACACTCTGGAAGGAGATCCCTCGCGATGTTTCCAGTGCGTGCGACATATAGGGATAATTAAAGCGCGATCTTCGCGATGTGGAAAAGGAAGGGAGGGATGGAATGACGGGACATCGAGAATGCGGATTATATACGGCGTGATGGATGGATCAGGTTGAAGCGAGCGGATTTTTAGTACGTGATATCACCCGCGGAGGAAAGCGAGCCGCGTAGCGTAAGCTGACCGCCGCGAGAGTTGCCCGGACTTCATCGGTATATAGAGACACGTGCGAAGGCGCGACACGTGATTCCCGTTCGGCGTTAGTGATTCTCTAATTCGTCGAGATCTCGATTTTGTATTCGCCCATTTCACCCGGCTAACGGCAACTGCCCGCTTCTAGGACATGCGTTTTTATTAGACATTTATTGCCAAGTATATTTATTGTCGCTTAAGAGAGAAAAAGGAAGAGAAAAATATAGAGATAGAGAGATCGTTCTTTTTTTACTTCTCGATTCTCGAGAACGATATTTGATACAGTCGGAACATAAAAATTGAACGAACGCCACGAAATTTAATATATTTTACGTTAAACGACGAGGTGCCGTGACTTTATTCACCTCACGGATACGAGTGCAAAATAGTGCCGCCGGCTTAATCGAATTTCAAGCTCGTGAGTCATCGTTTAGCGAAATGCGGGATGACAGTATCATTCTCGGTCTTTGTTTACGTCAATCGTGTTCGGCATACCATCTCGATGAGGCTTACGATCGAAAACGACAATTTTTGCGAAATCATGGGGACCGCGAGAGCGAGGAGAGCGGAGAACGGAGTTTCGCGCCGCAGAGTCGTCGAACGTCAGCTGCTCGATCGGACTCGCAACGCGTCGCGCGCGGGCGGGTCGCGCCCGCTTACTCGATTGATCGATTGCGCGCGCGTAACCGCGGGAGCGCGCTTTCAAAAATGATTGTCGCCAAAGAGTCGGCCTGGCGAAATGTTCGAGTGTTGTTGCGTGGGCGCGAGTGGAGAAAAAAAAAAGAACACGTGATTTCAACGAAATCAATCGGTCATCCGCGACATTGCGATTTCTATCGATGTAATTGACTTTCATGACACGTCAAATCGCTTTGCAGACATCGGAATATCTTATTCCTTTGTCTAGGAGTACCTAGTAACAAATTTACGAAAGATAACCACGACGTTAACCGAATCTCCTCCAAAAAAATTAATGTCATTTCTTTCTCCGATAACTATTGTAGAAATCTATATATATGTATATATATATATAATATTAAGCTTTCTATAAAGGCAAAGCGAACAATAAATGAAAAAAAAATTTTATCGAATGCAATTAGCCGATTATCCGATTGAATCTATCAAGCCACGTGAGAGATTACTGGTTTAATCGTTTATCCGATCAATGGGAACGGGCCGATTAATCGATCAAGGCATAAACCACCGAGACTCAATCGATTAATCAAACGAAACCGATAAACGGATAACAATTTAATCGATAAATCTCACGCGGCCGCTTTCGATCGTTTAAATCGAGTAATGCAGAACACATAATGAAATGATTTTGAAACGAGTTATTTGGTTTGAATAATTATTAAAATAGCACACACGCAGCAATTTGAAGGAAATTAGGAGATATTATAATCGTGTAATAAAAGAATAGTAATAAAAGTCACTTAAATAATATTTTATTTATTTAGAGCAAGATAACAAAATATTATTTTAAGAACTATTTAAATAAGAATTAAAGATACTACACTTTTAACGTTTGTAATATAACAAAGAGAGAGTTTACAAAAAACAAGTTAGAAGCCATTTGATCTTTCATAAATTTAATTCTACATCAACTTAAATTAACTTTAATCATAATCAATTAGAATATCAGTCACATCACTTACTTTGTAAATTCACATTGCATATTTTTTATTATAAAAAATATTGCAATGTGAAAAATGCAATGTAGTTTTGAATTACTTAATTAATTAACATTGGACAAAAAATCGCCCCAGTTTATTTTAATTCGATTTTAATAATAGAGATATCAACATTCCTTATTCATTAATAAGAATAAAGGGACTAAGCAAATAAATTATTACGGAAATAAAGAAAAAAAACTGATGAAAGACGAAATATTTCATCAGTATAAAGATATAATTATTGAAAAATCAAAAACTTCAAAATTTCATTCTTTATGCAAGAAATAAAATATTAATCTGAAAAATAGAAATCAAATAATTACTGTATTTCTAGCGTTAAAACTAAAAACAATTTCAAAGTGCTGTGAGATAACAATGGTACTTCTCTTAACAACATTTTTCGGATTTATAAGAAGAAGCAGTGAAGAAGCGCGGTGCCAATTTGACGGAGTACCCATAGGGTAATTCCGGTATATACGCCGCACCTATTAAAAACTTAATTTATCAGGTATTATTAAATTATGGTTAAGGTAAACGAACTATACCAGTAAAAACTGTAGATTGTCTACTACTATGAAAAAAATATTAGGAATCTAAAATATTTATTTTTTATATTTAAAAAAAATTCTTTAAACCCTTGCATTTTTGTCGTATAAAAATATGGGTGGATTACACGGCTACTCACGGGTAAAATGAATAATAATTCAAAAAATATACAAATAATCTAAAGAGCTAAGCACCTGTATTTTGCTATACTCTATCCTTTACAATTCCTCTACACTTATGTACCACGAAATAACCACGAAGCCTTTTATATTCCCTACAATAATCATTTTAAGTAGATTATAACTTATGGTTGCGCTACTTATTACAGTGATAAATCGATTCAACTTACAATAATTTTGTAAATATTAACAGTAAAAAAACTGAAATCATAACACAATACTAATATATAACATAAAGGTATATAACAGGTGCGAGAAAATTACTTTCACTTCTTCTATTTTTTTTGTCTTCTGCGACATAAGGTAAACGTACCAGTGGCTGAACATGTATGTATATCTGAACACGTACACAAAATTTATTAATCTCAAATACTTTTTTTATTATAATATCAAAATTTAATAGTAAAAATATTTAAAGATTACAATTAAATTATAATATTATGAAAAAAATCATTTAAAAATAAATTTTTGTGTACATGTTATATAGATACACGTTCAGTCACTGATACGTTTACCTTAAATCCTCGCGCGGCGTATACATACCGGAATTACCCTACAGCTTCCGATTATCCGTGTGTACAGCTCGCGACGATTTGCGAAGGTGATGCAATTATTGCCGAGCAATATTTTTTTCGGCGATTTATAAGATGCCGGCGCGGCGGATGCTGATGGAGCACGTCTTACAAGTGTAGGCCCGCGCGATATCGACTCAATCCCATCCCTATACGGCCTACACATATACAGTATAATATATATACACGCGCACGCATACACGCATCATCACACGCGTATATGCATATCGGGCCCTTCCTCGCCACCAGCACGCACCTGTTACGTTGTGTTGTCGTTCCGCGGTGCAGCGGCGTGGCTGCACGCGACAGCTCGTGCCACTTACTTCCAGTTACCTCTCGGCAGTGCGAACCATCGGCCCGCCGCCGCGGCCGTCGGGCGTCGCGTCGCTATTTCCTCGCGCTGCGCGCGCTGTATCGACGCTGTCGCAAAACCTGCCACTCGCGATCTCTGAGACATGGGGAAAGATTGATCGTCCACGCTGTTCGCGATCGGGTAGTACCCCCCGACCAGGTAGAGTAGCAGCAATGTAATAGAATAAATTAGCGCGGTGCGTGGTGCGCGCGTGACTATTTGCGCGCGAAACTAAAACGACCGAGCAGTCGTTCGGTCGAGTGACGGCAGGTAGAAGGACGAACGCGAGATACACCTTGAAAATGCGAACTTTATTAATTCGTCATTTCCTTCCATCCCGAAGTCGCGGATCGACATTGCTTTTACTTCAGATTCATGACGAGATCAGTTTTATTACGGATTCCAGGAGTGTCGGTCTTTTGAAGTGGAGAAAGAATACACATTATATTAAGTATATCAAAAATAGTACTGATATAATTTTATTTATTCTTTTTACATTTGTTTAGTTTAAACCTTTGACACCAAGCCACTACCGTGTCTCCTGATTTTATGTACACGGAAAGAACGATTTTGTTGAAAGGTCTAAAAATTTTGCTAAAAGCAGATCTGAAAATAATTGTTTATTGAATCATCAAAATAATTTGTTAGAATGTTGAAACTGATAAGCTATAATACGTTATTACTGATATTGACTATAAAACGTTTTGATATTCTAGCAATTATTTTGTCTTTCGTACAAAATTATTTTGATGATTGAACGAAAATTATTTTCAGATTTGAATTCAGCAAAATTGTTCTTTCCGCGTGTATAAAATATTTCAGAAAAAATTTCTAAAGTATAT